AGTGAAGCAACACCATATTCATGATGAATGCATGGTATAAACCTCAAATATATCTTCTGGCCTCTATCAAGCAAGCAACACACATATATAGATTAATTATAGATACATAGTGTCTATATCATTCTTGGTAAAGGCCTCTACCAAGCAAGCAACACACGCTTATTATCCTATCTATGTGTCAAAATCTATATACGTGTGTTGCTTCCTTGGAAGCACGGTATAAACCTCGAATCACTTTTTACAAAAGTCTTTTGAATTTTAGAGGATAATAAACGGTGTTGTTGAATGTACCGAACTTACACAAAAAATCATAGTTAAATGTTTGACTCGAGCTTCAAGCGTTATCTCGGCTTTCAGGTCCCCCGAATTTTTAATAACAATGGAAAATGAAGGTTGGAAGCTTGCGTAAATTTATCAATGGGTGAAAGAGCGGATACGAGTGATTGAACTAATTTGAGGTCAGGCTTATAATTTTGTCTATTTCGTATTTCATTTAAAGCCTATACTTCGTAATTATATTGGTTTCAATATTAAATGTTTGATTAAAACTTCAAAAGTTACCTCACGCTTTCAGGTCCCCTGCTATTGTGATGTTACACCCGATGAAAATTAAAGGATGGAAACTTACTCAAAGATATCAAGTGAAAGCGCATAGTCTAACTCAAGGTTAGGCTTATAGTTTTCATCTATTTAATACTCCCTCCGTCCCATTTTATGTGTCTTATTTTGACTCGGCACGATTATTAATGAAGTGGTTGAAAAAGTAAAAGTTGTGGTTGAGATTTGAGTTTAATAAAGTGAAATGGTGTAAACCACATATTTCTTTCCAAAAAAGGAAAGGAGACACTTATTTTGGGACAACCCAAAAAGGAAAGTAGGACAGGTAAAATGGGACGGAAGGAGTACAGTATTTCCTATGTCCTTTAACAAAGTCCTACTTATAAATATGTCGGTTTCAGTTTTTCCTGTGGTCAAAATTTCTTTTTTATTAGTGATTTAAGTTGATTTGGGAAATGAAATATTGTATGTGGGTTCTAACCCAATCATTGGGGAGTTCCTCTGCTATTTGAAAAAATAAATTAGCAACCCTTCTGCCCATTTTTAACCCCTGAATATGCTAACAAACTCTTCCTCTGTTTTCTTAATTATTTTGTCATTCCCATTGTTGATATTCCTGCAATCATTGAACAACTCTTTTCCCGGTTCGATTTGTTTTTAAACAATACAATGATGCGCCTGCATGATTGAACTATCGTTTCCTCTGTTTTAAAGTGTTTTTTTCCAATTTTTTTGCTTATTTCCTATCACTGGGCACAGATATCGTGCAACTTCTTTCAACTTGTTGCGTGGAAAGGAAAATACCGATGTACCTCAAGTCCTATTCCAGTGATGCAAATGGGCGTCTGCAAGCTTTCCTTGGAAGGGACAATGCATATATGGTGACTGGGGACGGGCCGATTCTGCGCCAACTTCAAATGACTTTTTAGCTCAAGAAACGAACAGTCCTGGTGTTCTTCATGCATGGCCGAGGTAGGGTGCACCTCATTGCCATGTCACAGTGCGGTGTAGAGGCTCCACCACCGAAATGTCACAAATACGAGATCGCCACAACATCATGCGCCCACCCTCCTGCCCAACCTTGAACCCCTGATATGTTAACAAACTCTTGTTGTGTTTTGGTTGTTACTTTTGCATCCTTGTTGATTATTTTGCTCCAAAAACAATAAACATGCACTACTGTTTGCCTTTTTACTTATGACCAAGGCATGACCATTGTATGCTTAAATTCTCGTTTCCTTTTGTTACTTTGGATTGGCATCCCCCCATTTCAATCTTTTCACCCTTAGGCGGTTGATTGCTCATGCTATTTTAACATGTTTTTTCCCATTTTTCAGCTTTTTTTCGAATATTGGGCACGGATATCGCGCAACGCGCGTTACCCCGCTAGTTTATATGATAGGTAGAAGATAATATTGTGGTCGTGTTTGACATCTAGCAGTTAGCTGTTTGTGGATAACGGATTATATTAGCGGGTTGTCAATAACAAGTTCAGTCAGTAGGTTTGCTTAGCGGAATAAGTTGGCGAATTGTCAGAAGATGTTTGATATTTTAGTTGCTTAATCACAACAATTAGTAGAAAATGCCATAATTCACAACATACATTGGGCATTTAGTTAATCGCGCAACGCGCGTGTAAATAACTAGTAATTATTATAATAATGAATATTGTGTGTTGCTAACCGAGTCCAATACACATTTATCATTATGAATAAACGGTCAAAATGAGTATTGATTTAATGCTATCACACTATCTCGATCAATATCACTTATATAATAGGTATATATTAGTGTGTGTATTTTTTATTGAAGAATTACAACTAATACTTTATGTATTATTATGTATATATATGTGTGTGTATATATTAGTTTGTAATTTTTTACTTGAAGTGTTATAATTAATCACTTTATGTATTAGTGTGTTTGTATACAAATAAGAAATTTTAAACGGGTCTGGGTCTTTAACGGGTTGGAATCATGTGTACCGTACCTGACCCGTTTATTAAATATACTAACGGGTCCAGATCCGGGTCCGGGTAAACGGAATAAAATATAGACCCATACCCGTTAAAAATAACCGGGTCCGGGTCCGGGTCGGGTCCGGGTCTAGACCCGACCCATTGACAGGTCTACTGGCCACCGTCCTAAGAATTTGTATACGGAGTATCTTACCATATATAGTTGCTCTGATGATATTTACTGAGTAGTACAATAGGAGTATAAAATTAAAACTAATTTACCATTGTTAAAATTAGAGAAATTTGTTGATTTAGTCCCGTAACTTATAGCTATACCCGATATTGGTCCTGTAATTTGATTAACTTGTAGATTACATCCCGTAACTAATAAGTTGGTGCAATTTTGGTCCTTCTCTGCCGGAACTTACCAATTTCGCCGGAAAAGACACATCACCTGCCACATGGTATATTATTTGGAACTCATTTGCTGACTCAATGTTGGCCCTTAGCTAGAGTTAAAAAATTATTTCTTCTTGGTTGCAGCAGGAGCATTTTGAATGAAGTTTAAAGCTTTTTGGATTCATGTTTTAAGAATAAAGCATTTGAAATGTTACATCCTCTTCACTTCTCACATCTTTAACATGAGAAAGACCAGGAGCAAAAACACTAGCCCCACAACAACTATGAGGAGCCTTTTATTTTTAGCCTTCAACTTTACAACCTCTTCCTCTTTTGAATTGAGTCTTCTAACCAATCCCGGAATTATCATCGTTCAACGATGGCACATAGGTGGGTCCGCCCATTCAAAAAATCTGCAACCTTCTGTCTGTATCAAAACAAGATGAAGCTTAACTTACTTTTTACTGCTTTGAACACAAAAATACATTATCAAATGCCCCCAACAAATAGAAAATGGTAATTTTATTAGCAAAACCCAGCCTAAAATATAAAATACATTTTAATTTTCAAACAAATTTATTATTCAAATGCTATTCTTAAATTTCTAGTTTATTTAGTTAAAAAAGAAGCGAACAATGTAAATTAAAAAGCTGAACTTCTTACTCTGCTTCTAGCGCACACACGAAACCTCCTTCCAGGATCGTTATCAGTCCAAGAAGTTAGAAGAGAAACCTTTTTACCACAATCACACTCCATAAACTTTTGTCTGATCGAGAGCCGTTACTAGCAGATTTTGAAGAATAACTCACTCTCTCGACTTTTCAGGAGAAATCTTCAGGTAAAGTTATATGTTCTTCCCCCCTTTTGCAGATCCGATAATAGGCTTGGTATGGTTGTGCACGCACTTAGCGAAGAGCTTTCGTACTCTGGTTTTTTAACTCCAGCTAAGGGCCAATATTGAGTCAGGAAATGAGTTCCAAATAATATACCATGTGTAAGGTGATGTGTCTTTTTCCGACGAAATTGATAAGTTCCGGCAGAGAAGGACCAAAATTGCGCCAACTTATTAGTTACGGGATGTAAATTGCAAGTTAATAAAGTTACATGACCAATATCGGATATAGCTATAAGTTATGGGACTGAATCAACAAATTTCTCATAGTTTTTGTGTTAAATATGATCTCTATGATGATGATGAACAACAAAAGTACTATAGTCTATAGCCAAGCACTTTGTAGTTCAATGCATCATTATAGCACTCTCAAAAAGGAGGTTACAAGTTTAAAAGTTGATCTAGAATGTTTGCATTTAACGGAACAAATACTATAATATATTAGAAAAATGGATAAAGAATTTCATAACACTCCAACTTTAATCTTTCAAAAAAGAAAAAGGTTCACAAAAATAATTCGGAGTGTTTTTGGTGTTCCTAAAAACTTAAATAATGAATAATGTAGAAGTAAACATGGAGACCTGTTTTTCCTTGCTAAAGAAGTGTCAATATTGACGTGGCCCCGTTAAATTGATAAGATGAAGTTTATCACAAAAGTAGACAATAATTCAATTCTCCATAATGATTATGGAGGCAATTATGCTCGTGATAAGATATTTAAGATCTATGTTAAAATGGGTGTAGACACAATCATTGAGGCGGTTTGGCAACACTCTATTTCGGCTTATCAGACTTATCAGCCAACTTTTTCACCAAACGCGTAATTTTTGTTTTCGCGCGCTGAATTATGTAATAAGCAGAAAAAGTAAGGTTGGAGTTACTTTTCTGGCTGTATTGACTGAAGCTACTGTAGATGATCATTTTTAGCTATTTTTACATATATTTTTTTTCATTATTTTATTAATAAAATATATTTTAAAAATAATTTTTTCTTGAATCAGCAGAATCAGCCAATGCAGCCATTTCAGCCAAAACTTCATAAATTTCAGCAGAATCAGCCAGGGCCGGGTAGTTCACCAGGGCGCCTGGCCCGGGATAACTTTACATTTTTCAAAATTAGATAATTTCTTTAATACTTTTAAAATAATATTACAACATTTAAAAAATTGTTCATACATTTATAAGGTTTTGACCACATACACAAAAAATATTATTACTAAATCTTTAAATTGAAGCACATAATATATAGGAACATGCTTAGAACCAGGCCCGAATACCCCAGCAGGCCCAATCCGTATGAGGGCCCAATAGGCAGTGCTAGTCAATCCAAGAAAGCCGCTCGACAATCTCGCCTGGGTAGCACCGCTCGGCCCAATTTCATCATCATCATCATTACCCGGAGTGACATAAATGCTCCCAGTTACGGTGTGTTAAGGGGGCAGTATGTATGCGGTCTTACTCCTGCACTAAAGCATAGAGAGACTGTTTCCGGATATACACAGACGTCCAAAATTGCATGGATTGACTTCTGCTTCATAACAAAAATTAAAGCACATACAGTTTAGTGAGTCATTCTGCTTTATTTCATCATATTTTCAAGCAAAAAAATAGTGAGTCTTTGGTTTCATTGAAAATGATGGAAATATTTATGTGTAAAAATTTATCTCAAAAAATTCTTTGTACCGGCCCACCCAAACCTTGGATTTTATATCTAAAAACTCAACACAGTGAACAAGCTAGATGCTGTTAAACCAAGTTAGAACAAGTAATCGTGGCCGTTGAGGAAGAAAGGTTGAAGAGAAATTGAAAGACGGCCCCTAGTCGTGAGTAGCGTGGCTATCGTCAAACAGTGCATGAAAAACGTGGATCGGATGCGCCTTGACATCCTCTTTTTCTCCCCATCTGCCTATCACCCTAACGTGCATATATAAAAGCTTCAATTTAACCCACGAAAATGAGCAGATAATCCTCTCACATTCTATACCCCAAATTGGTCATAATACAACCTTTTCCCAATATCAACCCTTTCTGGTTCGATAAAGGCAGGTGGTCATAGATACGTTCCTGGGGTGTCCCACTTAGAACAAGATATTAACATCCAACCTAACCCTAATTCCATGATAAACCTTACATGTTCCCGGCCTCAATATTGGTAGTCTACCATGCAAATAAAATTTTCTAAGAAATCTCTAATACCCCATTACCCATGCCAACTAGCAATCATAAAACCTATAAGAAGATTGTGAACAGGGCCGGTCCTGATCTTTTATGGGCCCGGGGCGATTGAAAAAGAAGACCCTTAAAAGGTTATATAAATATATTGCAAAAGCTTAACTTTATATACGCAAATTTCAACATACAAAGTAATGTAAGTCTTTCATCAAAGTCTTAATATATAAACTAAACGAATAAAAATTATATTAAAAAATAAAAAATAAAACCAGAGAATTACTTGTGAAATTGAAATTTCAAATTTGGAAGATATTTTTGAGAAAATTAGGAGAGTGTTGATTGCTGAGCAAATCGAATTAAAGTCCAAAGATGAAACCTTGAAATTAGGCCTACCTATAACGGGAAATGATGTCAGACCGAGGCCATTTGAGGCCCTTCCCGATAGAAGTTTTCATGAAAATTTTTAAATATATTCTTCATGAAATCTATAATATCTCCACAAAGTTTCAGATTAAAATTCAACCTGAAAGTCAGTTAAATAAATTATTGAAAGATAGTGTGCATTATTTATATACACAAAGCGCAGTGTATTTCAATATTTTATTTAACTGACTTCCCGGTTGATTTTTAAACTAAAATGTTGTGAATGTAATTTACACTTGATGAAAAATACTCTAAAAAAGTTTCATAAAAAATTCCTCCATAAAGCGCCCCAAATGACCTCGGTCGTCTGATATGAATTCTATATTTATGGGCCCCTGTAAATGTTGGGCCCGGGGCACAAGCCCGGCCTGCCCTTGTCCGGAATATGTATTTTCCGGACCAGTTAACTTGCAAAAATCATTTGACGACCTTCCCGATCGAATTTTGAGCTGAAATTCGGTATGGACAAACTAGACTTGATGAGGAACATGCTCAAAAAATTTCATCAAAAAATTCCACCGGGAAGGTGCCCAAACGGGCTCGGCCGGACGGGGCAGCCCGTCAGGCCGGCCTGATGAGAAGAGCTCTCTCTCTCTCTCTATATATATATATAATATATATATATATAATATACCTATATAGGGGTGAGATCTCATACTAACTAGTTCTCCCATGCTAACTCGTGAAAACTCCGACAACCGGTGGTATTTTTTGCTCAAAGTTTTTGTGTATGTTCCTCATCAAGTCTAGTTCATCTATACCAAATTTGAGCAAAAAATTCAATCGGGAAGGTCATCAAATGATTTTTGAAAGAAAACTGGTCCGGAAAATACATATAAAATGCAGTTTTCTTTCAAAAATCATTTGATGACCTTCCCGATTGAATTTTTTTCTCAAATTTGGTATATATGAACTAGACTTGATGAGGAACATACACAAAAACTTTGAGCCAAAAATACCACCGGTTGTCGGAGTTTTCACGAGTTTGCATTTTAAGCATGGTTTGCATTTGATCTCTTACCTATATATATATATATATATATATATATATATATATATATATATATATATATATATATATATATATATATATATATATATATAGATATATAGGGTAAGGTTCAAGTGAGAAGAACCCTTTAGGTGAGAAATGAGAATGAATCTCAACCATTGGATTTGACTAAGTTGCAGTAAAAGACACTTGATGATGCACTGAAATATGCAATCTAGCACGGTGGCATTTCTGAAAATACTTCTGAAAAATCCGTATTAGACGTGTCTAGTGCAACATGAAGCTATTTCGGTGCAACACCATCAAATATTAGTGCAACATGAAACAGTTTTAGTGCAACATGTGCAAAATTTAAATATCACTGCAACATCAAATCATTTTAGTGCAACTTCGCGAATCTAATGGTTGAGACTTGAGATTCATTCTCATTTCTCACATTAGATGCATTTCTCACTTGAACCAAAATATATATATATATATATATATATATATATATATATGTATATATATATATATATATGTATATATATATATATATATGTATATATATATATATATATATATATATATATATATGTATGTATGTATATATATATATAGAGGAAACTTCATGTCAGGCCGGCCTGACGGGCTGCCCCGTCCGGCCGAGCCTGTTTGGGCACCTTCCCGGTGGAATTTTTTGATGAATTTTTTTTAGCATGTTCCTCATCAAGTCTAGTTTGTCCATACCAAATTTCAGCTCAAAATTCGATCGGGAAGGTCGTCAAATGATTTTTGCAAGTTAACTGGTCCGGAATATGTATTTTCCGGACCAGTTAACTTGCAAAAATCATTTGACGACCTTCCCGATCGAATTTTGAGCTGAAATTTGGTATGGACAAACTAGACTTGATGAGGAACATGCTCAAAAAATTGCATCAAAAAATTTCACCAGGAAGGTGCCCAAACGGGCTCGGCCGGACGGGGCAGCCCGTCAGGCCGGCCTGATGAGAAGAGCCCTATATATATATATATATATATATATATATATATATATATATATAGAGTAATCTTCCGGTCAGGTATACCTGACCGGAGCCGCCGTCCGGCCTCCTCCTTTTGGGGGCCTTCCCGGTGGTATTTTTTGCTCAAATTTTTTGTGTATGTTCCTCATCAAGTCTAGTTCATCCATACCAAATTTGAGCAAAAAATTCAATCGGGAAGGTCGTCAAATGATTTTTGCAAGTTAACTGGTCCGGAATATGTATTTTCCGGACCAGTTAACTTGCAAAAATCATTTTTTTCCGGACGGCGGTTCCTGTCAGGTATACCTGACAGGAACATTTGTGATATATATATATATATATATATATATATATATATATATATATATATATATATATATATATATATATATATATATAGGGAGCGGTTCTGGTAAGAACAGATCTTAGGAGAAAAATGAGAACGAATCTGGACCGTTGGATTGTATTATATGTGTAACCAAATGGTGCATTTGGTAAAACTGAAATGTGCATTAAATGATATTGAGATGTGCAAAATAAAAATTCCAAGTGTGCATTAGATGAAACTAATATGTGCGAAAAAAAAGTACAAAAATAACATCACATCGTATTTTTTATTGTGCACATTTCAGCTTCAACTAGTGCACATTTCAATTTCACGTAATGCACAATTCAACTCCACATAATGCCACTCTATCATACCCTTTGTGATGCACATTTCAATTTCACCTAATGCACATTACAGTTTCATCTAATGCACACTGAATTTCACTTGAAGCAAATCTAACGGTACAGATTCATTCTCATTTCTCTCATAAGATCGTGTTCTTATTTGAACCAAAACCTATATATATATATATATATATATATATATATATATATATATATATATATATATATATATATATATATATATATTGTACGTAACATTAAAATTAAAATTAAAACTCATATATGCATTTGAAGATCTCGTCTTGGAACAAAGAAGACCTTTATACTTGTGAGTTTATTTGCAGAAATACATCACACATCCACACCATAATAGAATCGTTTCATATCACAAAAATAATGGAAGAAAATATAATGGAATATCACACGAGCATTTTAATATCATTGGCTATGTTTTGGGAATCAAAACAAATCCCATACAATCCTCTCCTAGCCAGCCCGACGCAATAGAGCCCATTCTTTCCCTTCCAGTGCATCGGAAATTCTTGCTTGGGAAGTCCATCATCATTCAACATATATTCATCACCCTATAATTTAACAAATGTATTTTGTAAAATGAATATAATTGCAATGTACATACATATATGAAGTTTTTGTCACATTTAGTCATTTGACTATTATATTATTGACCTATTTGGTACTCGATTTTTTTTGCATTTTAGTCTTCCCTTTCATACAAGTGACATTTTGGCCCTTCAACTATTATAGTAGTGACATTTTTAATTTTTCATTTATTGTACCAAAATCATAGTTGAAAGATTAAAGGAGTGTTTGGGTTTGCTTAAAAAAAGCGCTTTTCAGCTTTTGGTTTAAAAAAGTTGAAAAAAGTGTTTTCAAATGACAGCTTCTACTTAAATTAATCACTTAAAAGCTAAAAGCTGGAAGCAGGTAGAAGAGTGCTTTAAACTGCTTCTCACTTTTTCTATTACACAAAAAGTACTTATTTTACCAAACACTACCACCTTTTACTTTTTCAGAATCACTTTTTTCTCAAACACTACCAACTTTTACTATTAATCACTTTTTCCAAAATCACTTTAAAAAACCAGTTTTTTTAAAGTTGAAGCAATTGCAAACACTCCCTAAAAGCGCCAATTTCATAATACTCACGGAACTAAATGTGAAGAACTTTGAACTCGAGAACTAAAAGTGTCTCTTGCATATTAATTGAAGTACCAAATGTGTCACAACCTCAATATTTTGGGCGGTGAATGTATCACGTAAACAAGATTTATCAGTTTAAATATTAAAAGCGTCAATTTGATAATAACTAGGGAACTAAATGTGGAGAACTTTGAACTCGAGAACTAAAAGTGTCTCTTACATATTAATTGAAGGACTAAAAAAATTGAAAATCAAGTAACAAATGTAATATATAAGTACGCCTACTTTACAAATTTATCAATTTGGCCATTTAACCAAGTTTAACATGTAATAGCAGGTTTTTAATATTTAAAAACTCTAAAAAGTTAAAGTTTGAAGAATTATATACTCCGTATAAAAATTGTGATAATTTTAGAATATCAAAGTCAATATTTTTTAATTTTTAAAAATATATTTTATATTCTACATTTGTGTAAAGGTTTATAAATTTTTATTTTTTTATTATCACTTTATTTTTTCATTTTAAGATTTTTTAATTTTGTTTTAATGTTTTTTGAAATTTTACTCAGTTTCTATTTTTACACTTATACTATATTTATATTATTCTTAAATTATATATTCAAATTTATATGAATTTTTGTAAGATTTATCAATATTCCTAATTTAGTTTTTTTAAAAAACAACATTCTATAGCAGGTCAAATATATGGTTTTGATTGATTATAGTTTAAAAGTGAACGTACTTATATAATACTACGTACTTTTTTAGTACAGTGACTCAAGTCATGTATTCAAAATAATAGAAGAAAATGCGGAGATATCTACTCAAGCGAGGACTGCGCATGAGGAGTTTATTGCAAAGGTTGATAAGGCACTTCGTATTGCAATGGTAAAACTAAGGACAGAACATGCTAAAAAGGGCCCGGGCAGAAAATTGAAAAATCAAAGGAAATTTCGAATTTGTCTTTAATTATTTAGTTAATTAAGGATTTGTGATGTGGGGGCTGTCCCATTAGCCGATTTAATCTAGTTTATTTTTTACTTAGTGATTTGTGATGTGGGGACTGTCCCATTATTTTAATGCATTAAATCTAGGTTAGTTCATTCTAGCTTAGATATTCATTCTGATTTGGATTGATGCATTGTAAAATGCTATTTTTCAGTTTCTAATATACTTACATATTATCAAAAAAAAAAAAAATAATAATAATAATAGAAGAACCTTTTTTCTATAATTTAAACTCTCGTCTTTATTTGTTTATCAAAATGTACTTCATGCCTTTTAATGTGGTCCATTGAATGTGAATCATGTTTTAGCTGCTGCAGTCTCCATAATTATTAATATTTCAACAACTTGAAGTCACTCGATCACTCTATTATTGATGACAAGCACTATTTACAACAACGGAGTATTGTGCAATTGGGGAACGATATTTGAATCGTACTAGTATTACACAACTAATAAGGCACAGTATTGGCACGCACTTTTTAACAGCAAAAATGACATGGATTAAATTTAAATTTAATTTTAAAAATTATGAGACAATATTTGCAAAAAAAAACGTAGATTTCATTATGTGTGACCATGAAGAACTAAATTAAAGGTGTGCTTTTTCATTCAATAATGTGAGGTTCTTATTTTTTTTGTTAGAATTTCTAGTTTATTATAGTATCTATATTCAATATTAAATGTCAACATATTTGTCTGAGATGAGTTCAATCCGTGACATCGTTTGTGAAATATCATAGTGATATCATTGAATCACAAGATATTTGACGTAAAAACATATGCAAATCATAATTGTCTTCTTATTTCATTAAACGTTCTATTAAATAAAGAAATACATGTTTTTTTTGGACAAAAGAAATACATGTTAATAATGATTTTTTTCATTCCTAAGTGATATCATTTTAACATTTTATTTTCCTAACAGTTATACCATGCATGTCAAAAATAAATAAATATAAAACCTGCTCTCTTTATTTCGATTTCAACAGGGTAACTTGCAATTTTAGTCCGGTAGCTATAGTCTGTTTTCAATATTATTAGTCCTGAAAAGTAGGACTACTATATTTTTCTTCCCGAAATAGGAGTTGTTACTGAGCTGCCATGATTGAAAAATACCGTCATGATTAAAAAATACTGTCATTAATTATAATAAATACTTCCATGTTAAATGCACTGTACTGCAAATATTTGACAGTTACGCCTACAAGATAGCAGTAAATACTGCAATGTTAGTCTTATTTCGGGAATAAAAACATAGTAATCCTATTATTGGAATTCCAAACTTCATATACTCCTATTTTGGGAAATCCCTATTTAAAACTGGAACTTTAAACTTCATGATGAAATTTGAACACGATTGGATAGATTATTTCAGATTACACCACACTTAAACGAACTAGGCCAGTAATGAAGTCTGAATACAGACCAGACCAAACCAGACCAAACTTAAAAGGATCGGACCAGATCAGATTTGAACAGTTATAAAATATACAAAGAACGGACTTTTTTTACACCAGCAAATTACGGTCCAAAAAAACAATCTAACCAATAACTAACGTTTAGTCTATATCACTATATGGGAATGGAGGAAGCAACAATTAATTATAAATTATAAATGGAGGTGTAATAATAATTTAATTATAGAGAAAGAAACCTGAAGCCATTTGGCGGTGGATCTTTTGAAGCCGGTGGCGAAAACAATAGCGTCAAATGGATAGGAGGTGCAGTTCTCAAATTCGACATCACTGCCGTCCAATTTTACCATCGCTGGAAACACCTGTCACCATGTAACATTGAGTCAAATAAAGCAAATAATTAGACGCACACGCTCACACACACGCTACCTATGTCCTTCCTTAATTACTATGATGTCTTGAAAATTAACTATGGTGATGTCACTTTATAAGTTTATATAGGTGATGTTCATTTATAAGTTTATGGCCTGTCTTTTTCTGGCAGTGAGTTGGTTGCTTCTTCAATTTATTTCCTTTTTCTGCTCATGTAGTCCCAAAATGATTTTTAGTGTATTTATATTTTGTTTTCTTTTTCTCTTTTCTCTTTTCTCTTGTTCAAGCCATTCTCTATTTTTCTTTTTCTTTTCATTGTTAGGTTAATTTATACATGAAACAAATTAAGCTAATTAATATTATAATGAATTTATTTTAAATTATTTTCAATATTTTAAAATTATAATAAGTATGAATAATTAATACTCCCTACGTTTCCAAAAGATTGTCACGGTTTGACTTCACGATTATTAAGGAAATAAATTGACTTTACTATAGAGTACACTGTTTAGACACTGTTTTGATTTAGATTTTTTTGCCAAATAAGGAAATAAGGGAAGTGTGACTTTGTTTTTGAAACATCCAAAATAGGAAAGTGTGACAATCTCTTGGAAATGGAGGGAGTAAATAACTAAACTATGCTATTATAAATATACCATATATCATGTCAAATTTTATCCGGAAATGGCTTTTTATAAGCAGCCAAGTTTACAAAACAGTCGGTCAAAGTTGCTAACAAATCAGCTAATCGCTAAAAACGAATAACCAAGTACCAAATAAGGTCAAAGTGTGTCGGTATAGAGTTCCGGTGATTGAAAACTATCAACAAAAAAAACCTAAAATATCATAGATATTGATTTATTCAAATTTATCTTGATTCCATCGCTAAATTGCTAAATTTTAATGTTTTTTTTGTACCCAATAGTTTATATAGAGATAATTGTGTTGGATATATGTTGATCAAATCAAATAAATTTCATAAAGTTTCAATGAATTCGAACTAGAGACATAGAGAACTCTTTGTGCATGAGTTCAATCTAGTTCAACAAGTTTAATTCATTTCTTGTGAGAACTAGAGCAATTATAATGAATGGAAAATTATCCTCGAATTTCAGTTCTTTGACCAACATACATATGACATCAAGAAGTAGCCACATCATAAGGTGAATGTCGATATATACCTGAAAACATCTCTTATATCGCGTAATAAGGTTTGATATAATATGTTAAAAAGCAATCCTATCTTTATTATGATAATAATAGTATAATACTAACTACAAGTTTTATACATTGGTTTCTTATTTTGATTACTTAACTCTAGCATTCGATTCAATTCCTTACTATGTTATGGAGAAACTTAACTCGTTTAATATACGAAGTATAGAACTTCTATAAATACTACGAACACGCATACTTCATACTTCATTAGCCCGATTATAAACTAATTCCCTCTCATTGAACTGCGTACGAAATTAGAAAATCTTTTCAATATTTAAAATAAAATAAATCCAAGGAGCTATAAATAAAAATTTCAGACTTGGTGAGTTGGTGGAATAATAAATAAGATAGAGAATAAATCATTTATTTAATCACATTAAGAATACAATATATTATCCGCAAATATTATAATATACGAAGTATATGCATATTGCATTTTCCCTCAATAAATATATTAGAGAGAAGTACCGAATGTAATATACGGAGTATTCTATCTGTTCTTTTTTATTAATCCTTCTTTTCTTTTTGGGACGTTTTTTTTATTTGTCCTCCTTTCCTTTTATTACTTTTACCTCATTTACTTTTTACAAACTACTCTCTCTTTCCTACTTTATCATCACTTTGCTCTTCTTAATACACTCTCTTTCCTACTTTATCATCACTTTACTCTTTTTAATATACCATTTTTCCTACTTTATCATTTACCCTACACACTCTATACTTACCCTACTACTTTATTATTAAAACCCGTATCAAACTCTAAAAGGTCTGATAAAAAAGAACATAGGGAGTATATGCTAGTTTATTATTTGTATTTCGCAGATATGATTAAATACTTTGACGGTACACATTTATAAGTTATACACGAAATTAATAATAATAATAATAATAATAGTAATAATAATAATAATAATAATAATAATAATAATAATAACAAGGGAAAATGAAAACTAATAATCCAAACTTTTAGCGGTCTTTTTACGATAATCCCACCTTTTCGTTATTCATGAATAATCCAACATTTGCACCTCATATTCATTCACTGGTCCCTGACCGGTTAATGACCTGATATTCCAAGTTATTTTCTTATCTTTCCAAACCATTATACCATAAATCTCACCTTTCACAAAGATAATATTTTGTAAAAATAAGAAAATAACTTGGAACAGCAGGTCATCAACCGGTTAGGGACCAGTGAATGCAGATGAGGTGCAAAGGTTGGATTATTCATGAATAACAAAAATGTGGGACTATTATAAAAAGGCTGCTAAAAGGTTGGATTATTAGTTTCCATTTTCCTTAATAACAATAATAGTAAAAATAAAGATAACAATAAAAAACACCAATGATAACAATAAATGATGATGATATTAATAATATAATAACGCGCGTTAATAACACATAGGACCTCATTTCAAATTTTCCAATACTCCCTCCGATTTTTAATAAACTTCACACTTTCCTTTTTGGGACGGTCTAAAATAAACTTCACACTTCCTTATTTCCTTTTTTGGCAAAGAAATCTACATCAAAACAGTGCCAAACAGTGTCAAACAGTGTCTCTACAGTGCCAAACAGTGCCTCAACAGTGTACTCTACAGTAAAGTCAAATTTCTTTCATTATTTTGTGTGAAGTCAAACTGTGAAGATTAAAAAAAACCGGAGGTAGTATATATTTAGTGACTAATTTTTAGTGACTTATCATATATTAGTGACTTGTCACTCTGAAATGCACTACATATAGTGTCTCTTACCCAGTTACTCGTCCACATTGATTAGTGAGTCATGTTTATGTCCAAAAACATAACAAGTCATATTTTCATTCAGGGAAATTATATTAGTAATATCCATGTCACATAAGAACAACATTATAATACCTTAAAAAAATTACCTTAATCTCCCCGGACTTGACCTTGGCATGGGTCCCGACGTCGAAAACGGGATATTTGCCGTTTTTGACTTTGTTCGTAAACGGACCGTCCTTGGGCTTCTTGACCCCATAGTATTTAGTTGTGTCTCCAAAAACGAATTTGCTGAGCGGCTCAAGGACTGAGTCAACAAGCCAATAAGGCAGACGGTACTTCAACATTGTAAGAGCCAAGTCTCCCATTCCTCTTGTTATAAGGTGAAACTACATATATGCACGTACAATAAAAATGAATATAATATACAAATAATGAGTCATATATGATAATATGAAGATGGATATATTGATTGTGATGATATACTCATACACAATAGTGAATCAGCTAATCTGAATAGATTAGCTCATTTATTGTTATCATCATCATTTATTGTTATCATTGGTGTTTTTTATTGTTATAATAGATATCTCAATTGGGATCCCTAGCTATACCCATGCTTATACACACATTTTGTATAAATATAATTTCTTTTTTTTTTGCGAGTGTATAAATATAATTTCAGTGATGTTTCGTATCTTAATTCGTCACTGCGCGTATTGTTTATGCTTTTATCATCTTTTCACGTCATGACATGTATGTATGAGAATAGTTGTAAAGACGGGTCGTAGTTAGGAGTATAATCATTTTGTAATTTCGAAATAGGATAATTATATATGCTTTATTTCCTAAATAGGAGTGTCATTATTGTAAAGTATGAAAAATATATATTGTCATATCTAAAGAGTGGTAACAACGAGATATGTCAATATGTCAATGTTTTAGAATTACTTCTATGTACAACAATTCCTTTAAATTGAGTATTTTAGGAGAGTTATATACATGAAATTACGAAAAACTATTCTCTTATCACATAAAATTTGGTCAAAGTTGACTACACCTATAATTAAAAATTGTGTGATTAGGATGTCTAAGAGCGTCTCCATTCATGATCCTCTAATAATCAATTTTTTCTATGATTCTTACCTTTTAAATATTGTTATATAATTAATGTTTAAATAATCTCAATATTCGTTTATGTCTCTCAACCATCATCTTCAAATAATCCGATTTTTTCGTTCCTGCATTAACTTCTATTACATACTCCCTCCGTCCCCTTTTAAATGTCTCATTTTACCATATTGGGACGTCCCTATTTAATTGCCCCATACCTTATTTGGTAAACTTTGTGTGGCTCAAAATCATTCTTACTTTATTCTTACTTTATCAATTAATATCAACCACACAAACTCACTTTTCTTAAAACTCGTGCCACCATCTCCTGTCCCATTTAAAAGGGGACGGAGGGAGTATACTTTTTAAATAATCTTAAAATAATCTGGATTCATATTTTGATCCCGGATTATTGTAGCAAATAATCTCACTAAATAATTTATGTCACTCAATGATGTTCCTTTAAAAAATCTGCTATGTCACTTACTTAATCTCTTAATAATCCTACTAACGGGGATGCCCTAAGAGAACTACCTTTAATAACATAAGTACCGTATTTACTACTACCTCCGTCCAATTTTATGTTCCCTACTTTGGTTTGGTACAATTAAGTGGTTGAAAAGTAAAAGTTGTGATTGAGATTTGAGTATATAATAAAATAAATTGTTATAAATCACATATATCTTTCCAAAAGAAAATGTGATACTTCTTGTGGGACAACTTGAAAAGGAAAATATAACAAGTAAAATGGGATGAAGGGAGTATTTTAAATAGAAATGAGAAATCTTATTTGTATGACAAAATAAAGAAATTTAATTTGTATGACAAAACAGAGAAAATCGACAAAAAATTGTGTATGGACTCTACTTCTAGCCATCTACATATGCAGTTAAAAAACTTAAAACTAGAACGAGATTAAGATAGTGAGTATTGTGTAGTGGAGAGTTATGCAGAGAAGAGAGAAATGTGTAAAAATGTGTAAGAAATACTGTGAATCATAAATTCTTTGCTGAAAAAGTAAATAGGATATAATTTTTGGAGGGACAAAAAATGGAAGTTTGAAAATAATATTGGGACGGATGAAGTAACTACTTTTATTTGTAAACTACTACCTCTGTCCCGAAAAGGTTCGTCATGTTGTCTTTTCTTGGTCAATGATTGTAAACTTTGGACAATGATTTTAATTATTATATGCGTATATACTTTATATATTTTATACTTTTATGAAAATATTTTGAATCAGGAACATTTTGATATAACTTTCATATTCAAAATAAATATCATACTAAAAAATATAATTAGTCAAAGTTTATTATCAAATCGTTGATAAAAAACATCAATTTAGCGAATCTTTTCGGAACGAATGGAGTAGTATAGTATGTATGCATCTATATTTTACTCTTATTTAGATCCATTAGTTTAAAGTTAATTAACAAAACTTCCTTTCATCTCCAAACTAGTATAGTACCCGTGCATACGCACGGGAAAGAGTAGTTGATGCATATATTTGCACTCGTGATCTAATTATTAAATATTAAAATAAAAAATAACTTTTCAAAAATAAGAGTATATGAGCTAATACAATAAAGTATAAGCCCATATAATAAATACTTAATGAAGAGTATATTAAGGAAAGTTAATTGACACCACTCATTGGAATTTGCTACTTATTAATTTTCATGATTAAGTTAGTTTTAAAATTATATATTATTCTAAAAAAGTGAGTACACTAAGTGAGTGACATAAAAGTCAAGTGACTACAATAAATATTAAAATTAATGATATTAGTTAAATAAGAACTTGCAACTCATTAGTTATAATAGTGCTAACATATGATAAAGAAATTATCCTGCTAAATTATTAACCGTCTTATCTTATACCTAAAAACTATGTTGCGGTTAATTCCGATTTTGTGCATATTTGCGGGTTGACACTCTATCGGACCGGTTATAGAACTGGGTGGCTGGGTTTTGGGTCGAACTACCCGGTCCAGTCCGATTATCTTAACACGACCTAAAAGAATTAAATATGGGAGAAAATTGTCTCGCTGAATTGTTAGTCGGCTTCTCTAAACTAATACTTAAAAGAACTACATATATGAGAAAAAATTCCCCAATTCAATTATTAGCAAATTTATCTTCTAATACCTAAAAAAAATTAAATATGAGAGATAAAGTTCTGATGCTCAATTATTAGCAAGTTTATCTTCTTATATCTAAAAGCACTACATATGAGAGAGAGAATTTTCCCGTTCAATTGTTAGCTGGCTTATTTTCTTTATACCTAAAAGAAGTACATATGAGAGAGAGAAAATCTCCCGCTCAATTGTTAGCTGGATTATCATCACCATACATAAAAGAGCTACTAATGAGAGAGAGAGAGAGAGTTCTCCCACTCAATTGTTAGCTGGATTATCATCATCATACTTAAAAGAACTACATATGAGAGAGAAAGTTTTCTCGTTCATTTGTTAGCAAGCTTATCATCATCTTCACATGCCTAAAAGCACTACATATGAGAGAGAAAATTATCTCGCTCAATTGTGAGTCGACTTATCTTATAAGGAATACTTAAAAGAACAACATATGAGAGATAAAGTTATCCCGGTCAATTGTTAGTAACCTTATCTTCTAATACCTAAAAGCACTAATTATGAGAGAGAGAAATCTTCCGCTCAGTATTCTCGCTCAATTGTTAGTAAATTTATCTTCTAATATCTAGAATTACTACATATGAGAGAGAAAATTTTCCCGCTCAATTATTAGCAAACTTATTTTCTTCTTATACCTAAAATTACTACATATGAGAAATAAAATTCTCTCTCTCAATTGTTATTCAACTTATCTTATAACTAAAACCACTATATATGAGAGATAAAAATTTTCCTTTAAATTGTTAGTCAAGGTTTATTACCGTTGATCAAAAATATCAATTTGGCGAATCTTTTTGAAACGAATGAAGTGGTATAGTAAGTATGCATCTATATTTCACTCTTATTTAGATCCATTAGTTTAAAGTTAACAAAACTTCCTTTCATCTCCAAATTTGGCAAAAAAACATACTTCGTATTAATTGAAGCTGTATACTCCATATAACGGTTTGAATGAGTTTTGTCTGACACATTGTGACTGTGTTTGTGGGGCAACATGTTTATAACTTATGAGATACTCCGTAATAATAATACTACGAGTAGTAATACGGAGTACGGAGTAATAAAAACCCCGGCTAATTTTGAGGCATTACCGTACGTATGAAATCAAAATTATTGAACTGGTTAGAGAAGTTTTTCCTATTAAGTTGACGATGCAAGTCAACTCCGAATAGCATGATTATCACGTAGTTTTTCCTATTAAGTTTTTCGTATTAAGTTTTTCCTACTACGTATATCCCGTCGGAAGGTTTTCATAGCAAAATTATACAGTTATTTAGACAATAATTAAATAAAGTACTTTGAATACATTTTGAAAAATAATTTCGCTAGGTATATATTATAATGTAGTTAGTATTGATAATTGTGATGTTATAAATTTATTATTTAATTATTTTTAATATATAATGAATAATTTGTCACTTAAGATTGTTAATTGTTTTGTAAAATGGAAATGAGAACCTTTATATGGGACGACCAAAAAAGGAATTGAAAGTGGGAACCTTCTAATGGGAAGGAGAGAGTAGTATGTAGGAAAATTAGAAACAAATTTTCCAATAAAAATATGATTTCCATAATTGAAGTATGATTTTTTTGTTTAAACTATAGGACGTTTGACTTTCACATAATTTTTTCTTCGTCCTGATTTAAAAGGTTCGTTTGAGTTTCACATAATTTAAAAAAGTGACACTTTTTTACACTATTTTGCATTGTTTTGCACTGTTTTGTTATAGGACATTTTTAAAGGATGAATTGAAAAAAAGTGGGATGTTTATTATAGGACGGGGAGTATATACTACGTACTTGAGAAATTTTTGTCCAATTATGACATTGATAATGCCATTAACATTAGGCTCTTATATAATGTTTTTAATTGAATTGAATTTTTCTAATTTGATCTAATCTAATTTATTTAGGTCTGATCTGATCTACTGAGAATTAAAATAAGTCCAAAAATAAAATAAAAACCATATGTTTTTGAAAAATTGATTTGGAAAATTTCTCAAAATTAAATCCTTATATTCAATGCGTCTTGATATAAAAAAAAAAAACTAAGGGGTGGGATACTTACCGGGCTCCGTACAACTATGGAGGTCTTTGCCCCATAGTTGGAAAGATCAAGAGCAATCTCCATGCCGGAATTCCCACATCCGACCACCAAAACTCTTTTATTCCTATACTTCTCCCCATTCTTATACTGGGTCGAGTGGATGATTTCTCCGGCGAATCTCTCGATCCCCTTCACCTCAGGAATATAAGGAACGCTGGATTCTCCGGTGGCCACCACAAGAAACTTGCCGGAATACTCCTCCACCTCCCCGGAATCCGTTACTCCGGCCCTCACGTTCCACTTCCCGACCACCTCATCGTACGCCGCCGACTGCACCGCCCTCTTGCACCGAGGGGTGATTTTGAAGTGGGAGGCGTATTCGTCCAAGTAGTTTACGAACTCTTTCCTGGGAACGTACGTCGGAGTTGTCGCCGGAAAACTGAAGTTCGGCAACTCGCAGAAATGCTTGGCCAGGTGGAGGTGGAGGCGGTCGTATGAGTATTTCTTCCAAATGGAGGCGTGGCAGTCCTCCTTTTCGAGGAGGATGTAAGGGATGGAGAGCTTGTAAAGGCAGCCGGCGGTGGCGAGACCCGCCGGACCGGCGCCGACAATGATCACCACTGTTTCTTCTTTCTGTGCCATTCTCTATCTGTGTTTTATTTAATTTTAATTTATTTTATTTCATATGTCAGAGAGAACCGAGAAAATTAAAGAAGCTGCTAGATATATATATATACACCATATGATGTATCATGTATGGAAATATTACTATATGAATGAATGAAAAAATAAATAATAATGAAGTGATGAAAGTCAGAGCTAACTTGTTTCAACTTACGGAGTATTTGTTTATTTTTTTCTACTTTACAGTAATCAATTGGGTAGATGTTGTGACGACGGAAAATTGTGGTGGCGGTTTATTAGACTTTACGATGACAATTTTCTATTTTAGTCAGCTCATTATCGCGTCAAGCCGTTAGCAAGTAGATACCCGGCCAGTATTTACAAGTTTGCTACTCCCTTCATCCCGTATTTACAAGTTTGCTACTCCATTCATCCCGAAAAGGTTTGTCAACTTTGACTTTCACGTGAATTAATAAAGTAAAAGCTGTGTGCTTGAAATTTGTGCAGGGGAGAGACAATTAACTTTAGTCTCATATTCCTTACTTTAAATGGAAATGACAAATCTTTTTGGGACATCCAAAAAAGAAAATTTGGCAAACCTTTTCGGAACGGAGGTAGTATATTTTTTTGGAGATGTTTTTCTTTTAAAAATATTTCAGTCTTACTTTTTCTACTTTTTATGTTTTCTTTCCTAATTTTTGAAATTATCTCATACTTTTTCTACACTATCTATCATTCCTAGCATGTGTCAAACCTAATGTAGTGATCTTTTAAATAGAAGAGAGTATTTTTTAACGAGATTTTCAATGAATAAAATGGTGAATAAATATGATAGTTTAACGAGACTTTCAACACTTTCAATAAAGAGGTCACATAATTAAAAATGACCCCGATCAAGAATGTTAAAGTGGTTTCGGATTGTCCTTGTTAAGGGCTACAATTCGATATATGGTACGCTCAAAACGGATAACGGGTGAATGAGAAATCACTTTTCGAAGTTTACCCGTTAGAATGGAAAAACTGGGAAAAAAGGATGAGTTTCTAGTGTGTTAATTTCCCACACCGGAAAACCCAAGGGATTTGCAACCCTTTATAAAGGGACTCTCCCCTTAAGGAGTTAAGATTCCTAAGGGTAAAGGCTCTCTCCACGCGCGCAGGGGGGGGGGGGGGTGTGCAAATCAAATCCCGAATTGGGAGAAGAAAAACCGCGACTTGCGTGCGCGGGCGACCTGCGGACACGAATGTCGTCCAAAAATCCATCTCTCCAGAGATACGGATAATTTTTGTTTTCTTCCCAAAAACTCTGGTGGCACCAGAATACCTCGGTCTCTGATGGCCTCGATCAGAATACCTCGCATAGGTATTCTGCTGGCTTCGACCAGAACACATCGTAGAGTTCTGGTGGCACTTCTGAACCGTTACGGCAATAAATGCCCAACGTTTATATCTTTTAATGGACGATTCAATGCCCAACGGACTGGTCATTGATGTCCAACGTTCAGGTCCATTAATTCACTATTTTCACACAACAAATCCTCCTATATAATGGCTGGCAGGTGGTTTGCAACAACACACGTTCTTACACGAATTCATACACGTTTTGCACCTCTAAAAACACACTGCTAGCATTCTGAAAAATCTCTCTGTGTTCATACTGTGTTCTCGTTCGCTGGAACTTTTGTTTGTGTGCTCAAACATTAGTTCGTAGTCATCGTATCCTGGGAAACGATTGTTGCAACGCTCCTAGCACCGTGGGAGGCAACAAATACGTTTTAAGGACATCGTGCGTAGCACGAGCTTTGACTAATTCTGCTTCATCTCCTTTCTTGTTTTTCTCTAGTCATTTTATTTAATTAATTTATTTTAATTATTTTTCTTTATTTTCCGAAACACACCCAACAATATACTATACTCCCTCCGGTTTTTAATCAACTTTACACTTTCTTTTTTTGGAAGTACCATATAACATATTAAAGTTTACACTTCCTTATTTGCCTTACAAATCTACACCAAACAGTGCAAAACAGTGTCAAACAATGCCAAATTGTGTCAAACGGTGTACTATACAGTAAAGTCAAATTTATTTTCTTAATATTTGTGAAGTCAAACTGTAAAAATCATTAAGAAATGGAGTACTATATTAGAAAAGACTCAACAAAAAATATTCTATTGTAAATGTAATGACTATGGATGTTTTTATTTGGACTGTTTTTAATCTCAAACCAGACCATATTAGATCAGATCAGACCATACTTGGACAATTATAAAATACACAGAGATCAGACATTTACCAGACCAAATCAGACTAGACCATATTAGATCAGAAAATTTCAATCCAAGTAAAAACATCTTATATTAGTAATTTTTAGTCATTTTGAATAAATACAATTTACATTGTAATGACATGGCATTCAGGGATGGATTTAGGGGGGGGGGGGCGACCGCCCCCCTTGGACATTCAAACTTTTTTACCATATATGTAATATTTTCATAAAACTTTCATAATTTAATTAGATTCGCCCCCCTTAGCTTTTAATTTTCAAAATTAGTATATAGTCTTACATAATGTAATACTTAATTGGAGATTTAAAAGAAGAAACATCTAAAATAATTTACATAACTTAAATAAATAAACAATAGAGCTGGATTTTGTAAAACATATATCAAACAATATTAAATACCAGACACACTAATTACACAATTTTTAGATCACGTGAAATGAATCCAAAATATAAATATTTATGGACATTAGATTACATAATTCATTTACTTCTTGCTTTCTAAAAATAATTTATTGCAAGAATAATAAACTTTAAATTATTATAGAATTAATAAAAATATTAAAATATAATATGCACCATATATGTGTGTGTGTGTATGTGGTGCATATTATTCTAAAAATAACAATCTCATACATACTAGTATACGTACTACTATTGTAATATTAAGAAAACTTCTCATGAGTCATGACTCACGAACACCCTCCTTGGTGGACAAAAATTACAATTCAATTACTGATTCATGATGTTAAACAATGTAGAAGTTATTAAAAATGTATTGGTTTAAATGCCGTTTGGGATGTGCATGTATTAATGTCATTTTTTGAATAAAAATAGCTGCATAGACCTACAGTTGCAAAAAAAAATCGCCCCGCTACACTAGGGGAAAAAATTTCACCCCGCTACACTAACAAAAAAAATTCACCCCTACACTAACGAAAAATTTCGCCCCCCTTGACTCAGAATCCTAGATCCGTCCCTGATGGCATTGTAACCATATTAGGTTAGGAGTACATGAATCAAGGAAGTTGCTTTGCAAGTTACGGAGAACAAGTCGAATTCTGTATATTCAAATTCTAAAATTCAATTTGAACTCGAACTCGACTCTTCTTTATCAAACACGACTCAATCCAAAACGTGAGTTTGACTTACATGGTCAGCACCTTGATTCATACTAACTTAATCATGTACGTTTTATCCATATATTTTACTACCTCCGTCCCAAATTGATTTGCAAATTTGACTTTTCTTGGTCAAACAGTTTCGTTTTGTTCACTTAATTAGGATGTCAATTTTTAATTATAGTCTAATTTGGAGTTTACACCTTTGAAGAGATTTTAATGTATTTTATGAATATGTAAATTTTAATTATTAAAAATTGAATTAAATAGCCATACGGATCATTGACTTTTATTATTGGTTGACCAAAAAATGTTGACTTTGCAAAACAAATTGGGACGGAGGGAGTATATCAAATTTTTTTTACAACATCTTTTTTCACTTATATTATTTGTTTTCAAATTATTTGATTTTTTTCTCTATCTATGAATTGAATTGAAATAACTTTTTTGGGAGTAAAAACTTGGGTGTCGCAATGTTTGAGTTTTTAATTTTTTATCCTACGGTTATTTTAGGGGGAAATTTCCGAAATATGAGAAAAAATATTTGAGAATTTTAGAATGGAACTCTTATGTTTTTGTTCCTAATCAAGCATTCTAGCCCAGCTGGTTGTGAGGTTATCGTGCCCAGTAAAAGGTATCGTGTTCGAAAACCCTCTAGACACATAAGGGTCCGCAACTCAATGGAGTGAGTTTCAGCCCAGATTACTCCAGCCCCCCCCCCCCCCAACCCCCCCCCCCCCCCAAACCCCCTGGAGTAAAAAAAAATTTGCTTCCGAAATAAGAGTAACATGTTAGTATTCACTGCTCCCTACAAAAAAATAGCGTTTTTGTCATTGTGTTTTGTCATGAATTACGTTCGTGACAAATTTGCCACGGACTTTGTCACAGATACTTACTCCAGCTCACGGAAAACTATTTTCACGGAAATTATCCGTGACAAACAGTTGTCTGTATACAGACAATTTGTCTAGAAATAGAGAAGTTATTGTATACCGACAATTTTGCCTGTGTATACAGATAAAGTGTGCAAATGGTATATAGAAAAGGGTGTATACCAAACATTTTTGTTAGAATTTAGCGAAGTAAAATCCTTCCTTCTCATTCCTTCCCCTAGCCTTCTTAGCTCTCCCCTTCCCTCCGTCCTTTGAACCAAATAGGGGCATAGAAGTTGTTGTGTTCATCTTATTCTTATTGTTTTTTGCTTATTCTTATTTTATTTGGATCAAATCAGAAACAATTCAGATCAGATCAGAAAGATTCAGATGAAAATCATTCACATCAGGCGAACAAAACATCTTCTTAGATTACAAAAAAATTCAACGGAGCGGTAAATCTCAAATACCTTATTAGAGCAGGTCCAATGCAATGGGTGCATTGGAGATGATGTGGCAATTAAATGGAGAGAGTCCATCTTAAAATGAGAGGGTCCATTCTAATAGGTCTCCAATGCTAAACAAATTGCAAGTGCAAAACACATGGGAAGCAACTTGTAAGAGAGAGAGGGGGTGAGACCTAAGATCCCAATGTAGACCTCCTCTTGAACCTTGGTCATTGCCACCTGGGATAGACCTCATTTTTTTGATTTTGCATTGGAGAGCAGAGCACTTTGGGTCCATTGGGTAAGGTGGATGACATTTTTTTGCCAATCCACCTCCTCATTGGAGATGCTC